ACAAAAATAGTGGCGCCTGGGTGGCTCAGTCCTTAAGCGTCTGCCTTCGGCTCAGGTCAGGATCCCAGGGTCCTGGGATCAAGACCCGCATCAGGCTCCCTGCTCTGCGGGAAGTCTGCTGATCCCTCTGCTTGTGTTCCCTCTCTCCCTGTCTCTCTCTCTGTCAAATAAATAAATAAAATCTTTAAAAAAAATTACAAAAATAATGAAGTCAAGTAAAAAGTCTACTTAGTGCACTAATGCAATGGCACAGTGAGGTGGTGATAGAGTGCTAGCAACAAGGGAATTGGCAGTCAGAATTAAATGATAGCACTCTATTAGAAAAGCAGAGTTTTAGAGAGCTCCATGTGAAATAAGCCTTTGTAGACTATCCAGAGAACCTAGCCTTTAATGCTTAATATTTTTCTCATGTGTTTTTAGCTTTAATCAACTAACCTATAAAGAGAATTTTGGGATACAATGTGCCACTAAATCTGAAATGGCTGCCACATGCACTGCAGCCTAAGTAAAGCTTTATAAAGGTAATTTATTTAGATTTTGAAAAACACCATAATATACTATAAAAATTTATCAAACATCCTTCAGAAACTTTGAGACCCTATTTCTGTTTCTGTACACACCAACCTGCCATTTTCTGAAAGCCTAAGAGAACACTGCCTATCCAAGAAAATTATTTTATGAATGCTTTGGGGAAATATCAATATTTAGTGCTTATGTCTATAACCGTAAGTACAAAAGAGAGTCACTCCAGTTTCATCACTCAGTCTGATAGGAACCAGACCCTTGTCCATTTTCCTGTTGGTACTTGTGTTTCCCTTTGTTTTAGTTAACACCTAAATCAGTTGTACCCAGTTGTAACCAAGAACTTGATAAATGTTAAAAATCCTCTTCCATTCTGGGATTCTGTAATTATACTCATGATGATTTCAGCTATGGAATAGTAAAAGTTTTTGAATTAAAACTATAAAAAATTTAGGGCTAACTCTATAAAAAATATATATTGTATTTAAATGGTGCCTAGTAATAGGTAGTTCCACAGCACGATGTTGATAACTCTGAGCAAAGCAAGTGCTTTGAATTGAAATGTAATGGTCAATTAAGCTGATATTTCAAATTATTTTATGAACATTACTTTCCGTTAGAAGGAATAAACACTATACCTGTAAGTTTGGCATCTCTCCATGTGATAAATGTGTTTTAATTACTAGATGTCAAATATCAATTATCTATAATAAGCATTTTAATTATTAATTAATTATTAATCTGTGACAACTCAGGATTCTCCTAAGGATAATTCCTCAGGATCTAGATCTAATGTGTAAGAAATCAAATGCATATGAAGTTTCTCTAACAGAATAGCAGGAGCCTTTGCTATGCTTCTCGTTAAATTTACTTAAATTCTTCTCTTGAGCAGTATTATTCTTTTGCCTAAGTAATTCAGCCACATGTGTCTATTCAAACTAGAGGGAAACTACATGGCAATTGTCATAACTTAGTAATCCTCTTAAGTAAGAACCAAAGATTTCCCTCATTACAGAAAACAGAATTAATAAATCTCTAATAGCTTCCATGAAAAACGAGCAACCAAAGTTCAGATTGCATTATTGTGGAAAACAAAAATTACTCATAATTTAATTTTTTAATATTTTATATTTAAATCCAATAGTTAAAATACAAAAATTACTCTTAATTCCAACATTCCTCACTTTTCTGTCCTGTATTGTAAAAGTCTGAAATGACATACAGAAATATTCTCTAGTTTTTCTTATAAAAATATCATCGTGATTCATTTTGTTGCTCCTCCAGTCCATCCTGACAATGAAAGCAAACTGAGCATTCCACACTTGTGATACATCGATAATAAATTAGTACAAAAGCTTTCAACAGGACTCACTTTCCATGCTGTATGTAAAAACAACTTAGCATGGAATTCTGGGCCTTTTTCAGTAGTGGTCTAACTTCATCTTATTAGACCAGTCTCTGTGTGTGTGTGTGTGTGTGTGTGTGTGTGTGTGTTTGTGTACATGTTTCATATGCATACTGTGCCATATGCTATACCACTTCCTTGGATTTATCCACATGCAAATTTTATTAAATTTTTACTAGCTCTTCTTGCCCTCAAATGCAGTCGCATCCACAATTCTAGAATACATCAGAATTTTGGAGTTAAGGAAATCTTAGTGACAATTTAACCTAACAAGAATTTGAGGTTTGGAAAGTTTAATTAACTTCTAAGTTCTGCACAATTACTGCATGGAACAATCGGGACTGACCCTTGTAAGTTTCATGTTTAATTGCATGTACAAGTATATTTTATTAAATCTTGCTGCTACTACTTTATTGTTTTAAAACTTCTTTCTTTAAATTCAGAATCAAACCCTAAACTTTACATCCAAGGATTATATATCCTTCCAACTTCATACAATTTTATATCACCTATATATTAAAAGAGGTCTTAACATTGTCTACAATACAAACCTTCTGTAAAACTAAGAAAAAATATGAAAATCTCTTTACATTAGAAACTACCTATTCTCTTTGAATCATGGTGCATGGTAAATATGGTTAAGTCATTACATCACACGAAGGTCGCCAATGCAGTGGATCCTAGAAGACGAGGCAAACAGAACAGTGTGGTCGAAAAGAAAACAATTTCTTTGGCATTCAGAAAGTTAAACCCTCACGAGAACTCGTATGTTTGACCAAGTTGAGGTGTAAAGGCCTAGTTGGTCTCTGCATATGCAAATGCATAATAAGGTAGAAGAACAGGTTAGGAGAGTTCATAGACCCTTAAGGACTTAATAGTAAGAAGTAGTTGGAAGACCACTTTCATAGTGAACTAAATATATGGTGCATGGCCCATCTAAGACAAGGCCTTACTACAAAACAGAGAAATCATTTTTTTTTCCAAAAGAAGTACACGTGTTTGATTTTGTTGAAGTTTCTCTTTCATATACATGTTGCTTTCCAAGTGTAATTTGAAAATAGTTGACACAGTTTTGGTTTGATTATCTTCATTTGACAAAAATTCTGATTATTATAATGGGTTTGCACTTCTGGTTCAGAATCTGATTGACAAGAATAAATAGGCACAAAAATCGAACACCTCAACTTGTCCATGGGTTAAAAAAAAAGGTTATTTTCCAAAGACAAGTGCTAAAATATTTTATGAAGACTAATTAAATAAAACTATGCACATATTTAGGAAGTATTTTTGACAGATTATTGAACTAATTAAAAATAAGCAGGATGGTAAAAAAGATCTAAAGCTTAGTGTATATTTTAAAATGTCAGTGCAATAATGGTGTCTGTTAATCAATGCACATTCAGTTTTTAGAAGGAAGCATTTTTGTTTACAGCTAAGAATAAATGCTTGTAGTAGAGCCTTCATGGCCTTGCAATTGAGTATCTCTGTCTGTGGCTATTCCTCTGCATCTAACAGGATCCAAGGATGGATCTGCATCCGAGGATGAAGCGCTCTGTGAGACCTCGTGAACTGGATGTGCCCTTTATACACTGCCTTAGAAAAAGAATCATAAGGCAATTTCAAGTCCTTAGACACAAACATTTGTCAGTTGAACTTGAAATATCCTGATGTTAGTTTTTAACTATAGTGTGGAAAGTGATGTTAAATGAGGGATGCAGGGGGATGCCCTATGACTAATCTGAGGAGAAATAAGAGGGAAAAAGGAATCAGCAAGTGAACTGTATGGGGCAAAATGAGTATGACCTATGGAACCAGGGGAGAGAGATATCAAAAGAAGAGAAAATAATAGGCTTCCGATAAAAGAAGCTACATTTGAAAAAAATACACTGTGACACACACAAAATGAAAAAAATTAGATCAAGATTTTGGCAATTTCACAGAATAAATGTATTTCTGGTTTAAAAGCAATAGGCATGACTTTTGTGATATCAGGTACTTTTTATATTTTTATTTTTGGCCTATTCTATCTTATCTACTTTGTGTCTCCAGTAAGTCAAAAAATACTCAGACCATCACAATCACTTCTAGAGTCATGTGCAAAGAATAAAGAAAATGATATATATGATTTATGGGCAGTGTTAGTATTCATCATTGTTTATTTTGTTTTATTCTTAGAATTTGAAATTAGCTCAGCATTAGGCACATATATGGGATAATGCAGTGGACAAAGGAATTGTCCCGTATATAGAATGGTATGAATGAGGCTGGTAAGGGGAAGATAGATAATAGAAAATTCTGGACATTGGAAAGATCACATCATCTATTTTGAGACAGAGAAGAAACAGGAAGACAAAGGTATGAATCTGTTTTCTCGAAGTTGAATATAAGAAGGGGGAGTTACATAGTCTCTATTGCCATTTGTTCCAGACTGCTAATGAGCACCTGTTGCTGCTGTTGGATGGTTTGAACCACCCTAAAGGTACTGTCTTCTTTCTACTTCTGTTTTCTTTCTCCTTCTTCTAGAATCCTTTGGTCTGGCTTACAGGCAGGAAGTAATTCACTTTGACTGATACTAAGAAACAGACCATCTAGATAGAAATATTTGTACTTATTCACATACACAGCAAACTATTCAAATTATGATAAATTGTTTATTAGTAGAGACCAATATAATTTTTGACATATTATTGTATTTTTTTTGCCTCACGTAGCACACTCAGTTATTATTTATACATGATGTTAAATTTCAAATGAAGTTTTTAAAATCTTTTAGATGCACACACATAAAATTAAGTCATGTGCAGCTGATTAATAATGAATCAAGTCCACAGATGACATTTTATTTTGAGGCTTGCTATGAATACTGACCTGCATTTAGCTACCTGAATAAATCACATTCCCCATTCTACCCTACTGCCAACATTTGCAATATTATGCCTTTGCACATCATAATTAGTCAAATATTTTTAAATAATCATTATTTTAAACAATCAGCACAGGGAGTTGCTATAAAAATAACTAAATTGCTATCACTTTCTAATTGCTTCTGGATTTATCATATGAAAATTCTTACCTTGCCAACATACTGTGTATCTGTACCTGTGTACTCTTCCAACAAGAAGAACTGATTCCACATCCAGCCACGCTTGGTGCGATGTAACATTTTACCATCTTCTTTTGTCAGATCCACTACCATTTTGCTTGGTAAATCACTATTAGCTTTTTCTTGTAGTGGGATAGCATCAACTGTATGAAACATACAGGTCCAGATGAATAGTGATAGGCAGTAGTAAGTCCTCATTATAAGCAACTTTAGCAGGATGTCAAATTCAATATACTGTCTGATTCCCCTGAGGAGTAGAGGGAGAAAAATGGTTTATTAGGTTTGTGTTTCATTTTCACATAACCTGTAAACTATAAAACTTTTCTAAATGTTATAAAATTTTTATAAATAATATATTATTTATGCATTATTTTTCCGTGTTACATCAGTGAACTATCATTAAAACCTCACATATCACAGGGCTAGGTAAGGAGATACATGTAGCAGAAATAGGAAATTCATGGCTGACTTTAATATCACTGTATTGCGGCATATAAATGAGAATGTATTTGTAATTTAAAATACTAAGTATTTGAAAAAAATTAAGCCCTACAATATACCAAAGATTTTACTGAGTGTTCCTAAACTCTTTAAGACCAATAAAATGAATTATTTATTAATATATACATATATATGAGCTTCTATATTTTAAATAACACTTTTCTGCGCACAGTTTATCTTTTACAATGTTTCTTCTCCTTGTCCTATTTCCCCTCTTCTTCCTTGTTCTTCTGTAACAGGATAAGATGTGCCTTCAAGGCAAATTAAATTATACCAAATGTACTTTGGATTGTGTCTTTCAATACCTAGCACCGTACTATATTGATCCTTTATAATTGATAACTATACTTTTTCTAACAATCTGTTGAATAAGTTACTCAAATTTATTAGAGTCTGAAGAGAGCATGCTGTAAATGGAAACATATTACCTGATCATTAAAAATAACAACACATATTTATTTCCTACAATAATAGGAAAAAGGAGCACACAAACTGGTATGGCAAAATTAGATATGGGGGTCTCCGCTATGGGATAATTTGATCAAGAATTTTGCAACAAACAATATCTCTTGGTTGAGATAGTAAGTTGATTCTTCTTGAGGTTAAAAAAAAATGATAGTTCATTTGGTATTTCAGAATTAATTTTATTTATTAGCAAATTGGTTTTATTTGTGAAACATTTTATTCAGAAGATATGAAATATTAATAATGCTGCTGCTGGTAATGATTTTGGTAAGCAGTTGAAACCCATCAAACTAGGATAGGCAAAAGAAGAATTCATTGGATTATCAAATCAAATTAAGTGTGGAAAGGAAGGAATGAAAGGAGCAAAGAAGCAACTGGGCCTTTCGTGCTCATGAAAACAAGAATCAGGGGCTTGGGTACTTTAGTACTATTCTCTCTCGCTCACTCCTCTCTCCTCTCTTGCTTTCAGCTAAGCCTCCTCAACCTGATGGAATAGAGGAATATATAAAGTTCGGATTTAACATCTTCCAAGCCAGAAAACAACTGATAGTATTTTGTAATTTGAGTCTGAAAAATTATGGGAATGGACTCTAATTTACCTGGCTTAGGCCAGATGCTTAACACTGGACCTTACATCTCTAGAGTCAGTTGTTAACAAGGCATAAAGGTCAAAAACATGCCTCTAGCTTGGCTTTATCCCTTACTATCTGTGTGATTTGGGGATATTTACTCAGTCTCAACTACTTCTTCTTATAAAAGGAGAATAATTAGTATCTGACCTACAAGGTATTGTTATTCACTTTATTTTGAACTCTAATCAATACAAAGTAATAGTTATTTGTATCATAAGGACTTTATTTTATTTAACAGCATATAGCTATAAGAAAACTGAGGTGAGGGGCGCCTGGGTGGCTCAGTCATTAAGCGTCTGCCTTCAGCTCAGGTCATGATCCCAGGGTCCTGGGATCGGGCTCCCTGCTCTGCGGGAAGCCTGCTTCTCCCTCTCCCACTCCCCCTGCTTGTGTTCCTGCTCTCGCTATCTCTCTCTGTCAAATAAATAAATAAAATCTTAAAAAAAAAAGAAAACTGAGGTGTGAAGAATTTAAGTCATTTAAGAGTTTAAGTAATTTGACAAATGTACAGGTAGTAAGTATTTGACACACAGCCTTAAACAGTATGTTTTACAAAACATAAAAGATAATATATGTAAAGAGGTTAATATAGTGCTAGCATTCAAATTTTCAACATGTTAATATCATCATGATCATCATCATCAACCATGGTTGCTTCTATTATAACCATATAGACAATGGTGATTGGCAGATAATAGTATGGATGCTTGCTATGGTCCAGAGCTATTGGCTCTGTCCAGTCCATATGTACTCTGATTTCCATACCCGTTATTTAAAAAACATCTTACTTAACAAAATACACATATATGGTCACAAATCCACACTCTGAAATGAGAGAAATCAAAATCACATTACTTTTTGACTCTGAAATCTCAAGTAAGGGTACTTATCTTTTAGCAAGACTTTATGTGGCTATTCATAACCCTGTAAATTACAGGAAATTGGTAAATTTAACCACAACAGATGTAAAACTCTGAAATAAATACCAGAAAACTACAGTGTCAAAAAGGGCCTGGAAAAAGTGCAATGGCAAAGTACCCTGTAGTGGCCACTGGCTCAGAACATGCCCTGCATTTTGTTGAACAGTGTTGGTGCAGTGGGAAACAAGTAGCCAGAGAATTTCAAGGACAGATGGTGTCTCACTTTGATAAAATACAACAAATTCCTTAGCTGACCACCCTGGTCATCTGTTTTTTCCCCACTGGGAGATCTCTTTTGACCATCATCCTTACTGACCACTCTTACAAGAGAAATTGGAGAGCATTCTTCATTTCCTGTGGTCTGTTATTACTCTGATGCCCATTTTGGGTGGAATATAAGCCGTTAAGCAGAAAAAATCCAGTTGTATTAGATGGAGCCAGAGACTTAGGCAGAGGCCAGGATCCTGCAGGTCTTTGTGAGCTGGAGTAAAAAATTTGCATTCATTTTCAGTGCAATGGAAATCAGTTGGAAAAGTTTAACACGAAATGTTTAGAAAAGATCAACTTGACTGCAGAGTGGGAAATAGTTGGAGGATAGGCAAGAAATCTGGTTAAGGAGGGGGCTCAGTTAGAGTCTATTTCTCTAGTCAAGAAAGAGATGGCCAGGGCATATAGAGAAGTGGTTTTTGTTGGACACCGATACTGTGGTCAAGTTATCTTTCATTCTTTAATATGCACACACACACATGCACATACATTGCGTGCACTACAGTTTCTGCATGCTTTTGCCTCTAAAGGCCTGCACCTGCAACTCTCTTTGGAGGACTTCCCTTGGCTACTTGGAACCATTTTGCTCACATGCACAGGGGGCCTAAAGTGCCTACAAGTTTACATTCATCTCCCATGAAATCCCTGAGCCGTTGTCTAACAGGTGCAGAGGTGTGGAAATTCACACTTTATTTCATCCCATAGTTCCCCTACAAAATTATGCTAAGGCTGGAACTTCAAAATCACACCCTATTTGGATTCTTCTTTCTGTACTGCTTTCCCATGCTCCCTCTCACTTCCTGACCTGGAAACAATTTATTAACTCAATCACTCGCGTATAAATCCTCACCTCAGGATCCACTTCTTAGGTCTCAGGACCTAAGATGTGAATATAATCCACATAGTGACATATCAAGAAGAGTAGATACTACCTTCTCATGTATTAATTACGGAAGGTGCCAAAAAAGACAACTAAAATATAACTTTTAGATTGTTAGTTTGTGAACGGAGTAGATTATTGTGCCCTTCTGGGGAGTGTTGCTTATAGCAGAGAAAAGATGATCTATTGGAAAAATGAAGAATCAAGTTTTTTTTCTTATTTGTGGTCACTTTTATTCTGCTACTACTGAAAACATTTCTGCTATTAGTCGTAGGAAGCAACATGATTCACTGTCCTATTAATCTGATTTAATTTAATTTATATACTTATGACAACTCTTTAAAAGGGGTTCTTCTATAATCCCTCATATTATGACAAGGAAGCTGAGGCACAGAGAGCTTGAATGACTTGCCCAAGTTTAGGTAAGTAGACACAGGAGAACTGAGAATTAAGTTCAGGTACGTCCTGGCATTGGGCTCCACTTCATCTGTAAGGCTGGCAACCAGCATTTATTCTAACTTAACATTCTGTGTTCTAGACACTATTCTGAGTCTTTTTTTCAAGCACTGTTTCTTTGACTCCCATCACAGAAATGCTACAAGGAAGGTATGAAAACATTAGACAAAGAGTAAGCTGAGGGCTGAGGCTTTGCTTGTTGAAGTAACCTATTAATATCACAAGGTGGTAGGCACCAATGGGGAAGGTGGAAGGCATCCAGGATTTCAATTCTGTTGGACTGATGTCAATGCTTCTGATATTAATTGTACTGCTGCTAAGTAATGTTGCTCCATATGCACCCACCTGGGGCCTCCTTCACATGCTCTAAGCGCTTGCCCAATTTAGGATCTTTATTCACAATCTAACCTGGTACAGTCTTACTTGGTTCATCCAGAGCCATCTCCCATTTCATTATTTTCAGTCAGTCTCTCTATCATATTCTGCTTTCTTGCAGAGTCTTCCATAACAACTTTTTCAAAAACAGCTTATCCTATTTTGGTTTCTATTGATTTCTTTCATACCATCCATTTATTTACTACAAATTGTTTACCATGATTTTAATGATGTCTTTCATATAGTGGATTATATGTTTATTGACTGTTTCCTCTAGTTATGGTGTAACTTGTATGGTAGTGGGTTATTTGTAAATCACTGTGCTCTGCGTAAGATAGTTATTGATAAACAGTAGGTACTTAATATGTATTTATAAAATTAATTGACTCATGCTTAAATAGATAATCCTCAACTTGAGTCTGAGATCACAAATGAGATTGACTTAATAGTCCATTGCATAGGGGGCGGAGCAAGATGGTGAAGGAGTAGGAGACCTGGATTTCATCTGGTCTCAGGAATTCAGCTGAATAGGGATCAAACCATTCTGAACATCTACAAACTCAACAGGAGATCGAAGAAGAGAGTAGCAACAACTCTCTGAACAGAGAAGCGACCACTTACTGGAAGGTAGGACGTGCGGAGACGTGAATCGGAGGCGAGATTCGGGAGGATAGATGGCGGGGGAGGGGGCCTCCGCCAGCG